TTTTTCCTCTCCCTCCACTTTAATTTTACCATTTTCCCTGCTCCTAAATATCTATCATTGAGTATCACAAGCTAGAGATACTTTAGATTCCTCCAGTTCAGAGTTTGCCAGCAGTGTGTAGTGACATGTCGATATGCCAAGAATGGGGATGGATGTGCTAAAATATCATCTCCTTGGAACTTGAAAAGACTTAAAGAAACTTCTATTGGTGTTGGTGTGTGTGTGTGTGTGTGCGTGTGTGTGTGTGTGTTGTTATGTGAAAAATGTTGAGAAAAACTTATTCAATCTCTTTTATTTGGTAGATGAAGAATTGAAAGCCCTTTGAGTTTTGAAGGTTTTGTTAGTTTTAGGGCTAGGTGCAGAATCCAAATCTTGTGGCTTTTGCTCTGACGCACTTTGGCTAGGATAAACTTCCTTCCTTCTTTTTGCGTGAGACAGTAAAATTTAGTGGCTGCTCTTTGTAAACACTTTCATTGGAAGAAGTAGCCAGACTAATTCATAATAACAGTTTGCTGAATTCTTCCTGGAATTCACTTTATATATGTTGGTATCAATTTTTATTAGAAGACTGTATGGTAGATTCTCTTAGCACTTTTTTATAGAAGTGGAAATTGGCATTCAGAGAAGCTAAGTAACTTGTTAAAGATTTCCTAGTAAGTTACTGAATTCAAATGCAGAACTGTCTAGCTCCAAATCTTATGCTCTTTGCACACTATCATGATAACTACCTATTGAAATGAAAAGTAATTGTCATCTTACAACTATAGAAATCCTGCCTGTAGACAGGCAGACTATAAATAAAAGATAGTTAATGTTCACTATATGAGAAGAGAAGAATGTGAGAAGAGGAAATAGGGGCATTTGCTGTGGCTCCCAGGACCTATTCTCTTCTTTAAATTGGAAATGGCTTTGGGGGAGTGGGTGTTCTGATATGCAATTCCTTGGAGACCTTTTGCAAAAAGAATCTTAGGATATTTTATTGTTTTTCTTGCTTCTATGAGGCAAATGAATCAGGAAACTTTCTTTTTAAAATTTTTTAATGTTTACTTATTTTTGAGAGAGAATGAGATAGAGTGTGAGTGGGGGAGCTGCAGAGAGAGAGGGAGACACAGAATTAGAAACAGGCTCCAGGCTCCAAGTTGTCAGCACAGAGCCCACTGTGGGACTCGAGCTCACAAGCTATAAGATCATGACCTGACCTGAGTCAAAGTTGGATGCTAAACCAACTGATCCACCCAGGTGCCTCGGGAAATTTTAAAGTTGAAGAATAAATGCAGAGAAACAAATTTTTACAAAGACTTAAAAAGTTAGATACTATGGTGTTATTTTTAGATTCTGCAAATGACCACCTGCTTCCTAATGGCAAGAGTCAATGGAACAAAAGGATTACAAGAAGCGATCTCTGATCCTCAGTTGTACCACCAATAAGTACCTTGAAGAGATAAGGTATCTCATTATGATCCATACACGGTGTTAGATACGTGGGAAATAACTAGTATCTAAGTTGTCCCATAGTGAACCACTTAATGGCTTAAAACAATTTATTTTCTCGCCATTTTGCAATCAGCTCAGGTCTTTTGGGGATAGCTCTCTGCCCTGTTGTCATAACTAGGGTGGCTCTTCTGGGACTTAAGGATTTACTTCCAAGATGGTCTCACTCACAGGGCTCACACACGGGCCTGGTTGTCAACTTGGACAGCAGCTGGAGCTGTTGCTAGAACCCTTGATGTTTTTTCATGTAGGTCTCTTCATGTGCTGCTGGAGTCCAGCTCCAGCCGGTCCAGGGGTCTCTGAAGAATGGACAGTGTTGGCGAGAGAGTGAGAGAGCCCCGAGATTCTTTCTGATCATCAGGCAGACATCTCTGCAGTGACTGACACTCAGCCTTATTTATGGTAAAGTGTATGGGGAACAGCACAGAAGTGGCATTTTCCTTAGACAATGATTTTTTTTATGACAAATTTCCTTGATATGTCAAATTTTCCAGAACATAGATTTGTAGAAGACTCATGCATAATATTTATCAATAGTGATTGATGTAGGTGATTTAGATGCTTATCATATGGGGAAGGAAGATATCTTTAGCACTCAAATACAAGACAATGTTTTTAGCATAGCAGAGGCAAAAGTTAGTTCTTTGTGAGCAGGGGTCAATAACCTGATTTTCAGGAAACACAATGTTTGCTCCTATAATCAGAAAAGAAGAAATTCCTACAATAAGTTCCTTCACAAGGTACAATCAGCATATTAGGGCCAGAATAAGGGGACAAGTCATTCCCAATACCAATCAACAAGGTGTGTTGGGGGTCAATGCTCAAGCACAACAATTGAGTGGGGGTAGATATCGGTCATCATCTGACAGCAGGAGGCCTTGCAAACCTGCTTTAACCTCACCAGGAGTATTCTCAACTAGTGAGTTCAGAATGGCTCCCAACAATGTGCTGCTTGGGCTTCCACACAATAGGACAGCTGGGGTCCAAGAAGGAAAAAAAGAAAGTCGGCAGCCCTCTTAAAGGCTAAGCTTAGATCTAGCCCAGTGATAGTTCTTCCATATTCTATTTATTAATATAGTTACAGTTTCAGCCCACACTCAAGGAATTGGAGAAATAGATTCCATCTCTCTGTGGGGGAGAATGACACAGGGAGGTATTTGAAATTTTCAAGGAATAATTTTAAAGCAGAGCAATGGCACTCTGATTATCTAGGAAAATGACAAAAAAAAATTTAGAGATACAAAGTGAAGTGTGTAGGAGTGAAATGACATGACGTCTGGGGTTTAAAATACTTGCACAGGAAAGAAAAATGATCAGGATAAAATGGGATAAATTTAGCGACTGTTGTAATATCTTGCTGATTTTTGAATATAGGTGATGGGAATGAGGAGGGATTAATGAACTCTACTTTTGAGTACATATGAAAATCTCATGATCAGTTTTTTAAAATATTCTGACTTGAAATAATATTAGAGTTCCTAAAAGAAACTCAAAGTTCTAGTTTCATCTGGTTTTGATTTTGATTAAATTTTAATATTACATCTTCTCAAAACACACCTGAAATAATATTCCCCAAAAGTGCTAAGTTGAGAACGCATGCAAAAATGGGACTCTTACAGGGGTGCTGTGATGACTTTTGGGAAGATTAATAGCCGAACACAAAGAGTTGCTTGATAATGGTGCCCATGTTATGTTTTTTTCACTTGAAAGCAACTGTGTGAGGACTTAATGCTTTGAGATTCTGCATCCATCTTCAGAACATGAAGGGGAGGCAGGAGGACTAGAAAATCACCATGACTCTGACCTCATTGACCCTGTGCATCAATACCAGCTGTTGTCAATCCACAAACCAATTCTTACATGTGAAGAGTAACTCATCTTGAGTAAGCATCCTCAGATATATCATCTGTTATTTGGAATTCAAAGCATTTTTTTAATGTTTATTTATTTTTGAGAGGGGGAAGATTGCAAGGGGGTAGGGGCAGAGAGAGAGAATGCTGTCAGCCCACAGCGCAACGTGGGTCTTGATCTCAGGAACCTTGAGATCATGACCTGTGTGGAAATCAAGAGTCAGATGTTTAACCAACTGAGCCACCCAGGCACTTCGGAATTCAAAGCATTTTTTTTTTTTTTTTTTTTTTTTTTATTTCTAGGAGAGAGAGAGAGAGAAACAGCGTGAGCAGGGGAGGGTCAGAGAGAGAGAGGGAAACGCAGACTCTGAAACAGCAAAGCATTCTTAACTTACAACATTCTGTGAGCAGAACATGCCAAGGTATCTCTCCAGATATCTCAAGTTTAAGAATAAGGGACAACTGTAGATGCCACTTCTGAGGTTATTAGATATAAATGTTATTTAGAGAAAAATAAGTTCAGGACCAGCTACAGAAGAAGCATATTTGCAAAATCAGAATTCAATTTTCCAGCAATCCCATCGCCAGGTATGTAAGTACTAAGAGAACCGAAAGCAAGGACACACTCAGATATTGGTACACCCTTGTTTATAACAGTATTATTTCCAATAGCCAAAAGGTAGAAGCTGCCCAAGTGTCCACCAACGTATGAATGGATAAACAAAATGTGATATATGCATACATATATACATACAATGAATATCATTCAGCCTTAAAAAAGACAGAAATTCTGACACATACTACAACATGGGTGAAACTTGAAAGCATTATGCTAAGAAAAATAAGCCAGTCACCAAAGAGCAAATATTGTGTGATTTCATTTGGATAAGGTACCTACAATAGTGAAATTCATCGAGGCAGAAAGTAGCATGGTGGTTGCAGGGGCTGGTAGGAAGGAAACAGTGAGGAGTTAGTGTTTAATGTGTATGAATTTTCAGTTTTGCAAGATGAAGCATTCTGGAGACGATGGTCGTGATGGTTAATGACAACGTGGATATACTTAATGCCACAAAATAGTTCATTTCAAAATGGTTAAAATGTTAAATTTTGTTATATGTATTTTACCACCATAAAAAGTACTTATTTCCACATCATGTTATATAAAAGATCCAGCCTTTGTTTCTTTTTTAAATTAACGGAAACGAATAGAGGGATGGGCCTGGGGAGGCACATGAGACACAGCCTTGACATACCACCTTTGAAAGGAAAGTGTTACTTTTATATTGAAGAATGATCTTTTTTTCAAGGTTTGCCCTGTACTTTCTATTTAGTCAGCTAGGCCTAGAAGGTTGTTGTCACTGCAATTTTCCCTCGGATTTTAGTAAGATTATTGCCACCTTCAAAATCTATGTACACAAATTGTGGTAAGTCTCATTCTCTCATTTTATTAGTCAGGCTTCCTCATTAATTTAGAAAATTGTTTGTTCAATAAAGACCTATCTTACTTAATCATGGTCTCTGAATCCCCTGGATTAGGGCAGGGGTTTTACTCTGTAATAATCTCCCAGGAGAGCTGCCCAAACAGCTGTGAAGGCAGGAGAGCTACAGGGGTGACTACATTTTCTCAGGCCCGGCAGCAAGGGACCGAAGCTGACCAAAATGAATCTTTTCTGCTTTTCACTGGTGAGTTTCTTTACATGCATCATTGGTACCCTCATCAACTAAACTAAAAGGAATGGAGTTCGGGTATGCCCTAAACTTCCTATGTGGTGATATGAAATAATATATTTAATAATATGTAAGAAAGTCCACATCAGAAAGAGGAAAAAAGAATGTTTTTATTAAAGCACTTAAGCCAACTCTGTTCACAGGCAAGTAATTTACAAAAAAATATAGACATCTATCTAAAACAATTACTAGTTATTTAACATTTTGAGGCTGAATCTCTAAGTATTGTATGTGAACTATTTTTGAGGAACTATTTTCTTCTATTTATTATAAATATGAGAAAAATTTTGCAAAATGTCCTGCATTTGGGTTGCTTGTTCAGCTTTGGGACATCCTAGGAATCAAAATGTCGTCTCTGTTGTTTGAGTAATGAATTCCGTTTAATGTTGTCTCTGTTAAACTACCATGGAGGCAGATTGCTGAGTTACACAGTCCCGTAGACGCAAGGTACAATAGATTATTTCAGTCCTGCAGATGTGCTCATTCAAGGGTATAAGCACTTCTCAAATTCTTTTTTACATTATTACCTTATTTTTTAGTTTAGCCTGAAGTAGTAGATCAGTGAAAGTTAGCAGGTAGTCATAGATCTGGAAATACTTTATAACTCTAACCTGCAATTGTGACCATCTGCCAATGCTAAAAACGGATTTCAAAAATAATTTTATTCATTTCTATCTATGTTTACAGCAGGACATTATGCCTATTCATTGGTTTTTCAAGATGTGGATGGGAGATCCCTGTCATTTGGAGAAATAAAATGGTTTACTTTGATGTTTGTTTTCTTTTCAAACTGCAAATAAGATTAACATAAGTGCTAGAGGTGGTGCTGACATAGGTTGTAATACCTAAACAGGAGGCATTTTAAGCCAAGATAAGGGCTTTAATCGTAGAGCATCTTGAAAAATAAAATGCAGTTGTGAGTTGTGGCAGGCTGAATCATCGAGTTCCGATTGCCTGTATAGCCCCAATTTACAAAATAATTGCCGGTGTTCAACTTTGCTTTATGCCATATAAATCTGACTGGAGAAATCCCATTTCAGGTGATTTAAGTGGTATTGTGCATTCTTTTCTAGTCGATCTAAAAGAGCTATATGTGGTTTATATGAATATACGTCCCATGGAAATAGGCAGTGTAGCAGCTGAGAAAACTGCCTTCTGAAATCATGCTGAATGGTTCTATAATCAATATGCTAATGTTTCTAGAACATAGCATGGCTCAGCATAGTGTGGCATACGTTTGTAATATTGCTTGTGAAGGCGTATAACCGTATACTAAGCATGCTTGTCTTTCTGTGTAATACAAGAAAAGGAAGGCATACTCAAAAAGGCTGGCTTCCAAGCCATGCCTCAGGGACTCAATTTGACTGCAAGTCTTACCCATGTTTCAAAGTCCTTAAAAATTTACTTGTGCAGAAACAGATGTGATTACATTGCACCATCATGAACACTTAAATATTTTGTTCAAGCATTCCAAAGTTTATCGAAATTAATTGCTTTGATAATAAAATGTCCACAAGGTATTTGGGGAAAAAATCAAACTATTTTAGGATTGGTTTCTCTTTAATTCCTTCCTGTGGAGTAAATAAATAAAATTATTTAGCATATGGGCTCTCAACCAGGGTGTTGAGACACCCCACTGTGTTGTTGTGGGCTGTGAAAAAGGGGTGGGGTTAGTCTTGCCCAGGAATTTGTGCATAGTTCAAAACATATTTTATCTGTGCGTGTAAGAATGTGAACATATGGGACATGCATTAAAAAAAAAGATTAAAATCACAGATTTAGTGGAAATAAAGATAGCAGAATTAAAAAGTAGAAGTGTATATAAATATATTGACCTTTAATTCTGTAGGAAGGAGGTGGTTTTAAATATTAAGCATCCCATAAAGATTGCCACTTAAAAAAGCCAGAGAAAGAGTTAAGTATTCCCTTATTTAAGTGCAGGGGTAAATTGTAAATCTTTTAGTAAATGGGGTTTTTAAGAGAAATATAAAGCAAACTTAATGAACTGCCCATTCTGAACCAAGGATACTATAAATAATCCATTAAAGGTGATTGCTATTATTTTGGATCTATAAACTCGAAATGGGGTCTATCTTTCAAAAGGGAGGCAGGGATATCCTTTTATGCATGCCACTCTGACTCCAGAATTTTTCTTACAGTTTTACATTGTGATTAGGCTTTTAGAAGTTTGCTCATTAGAAGCAGGATGATTTTCTTGTTGAGCTCATCATAAAGTTATTGAGTTTAACATGGCTTTGTAACCCAGTAAGGTTACAAATCAATTATCCCTGGCACCATTTCTGCAGTGATTTGCAATGCTGCCTCTATTTTATTTGGAGTCTATTCTATCTCATAGGTTTATCTCTACCCCTTTCCTTATACCTGTTCTTTTACATACCTATTAAGATCATTCCAATGCTAAGTAGACATCTTACTCAGAAGAATAACCTTTTTTTCTGTCCTTCTTCAAAATTTGGACTGTTTAAGTCTTGGTGCTTCTATGTAAATTTCAAGTTACATGAAAATCTTTGATGGAATTTTGATTAAAATGGATTTAATTTTATATCCTCTTTAACGGAAATTGACTTAATTATAGAGTTGAGTCTTCCCATCTACAAACATGTGTAGCCTTTCATTTATTCTAAATTTTTTATGGACTATTAAGATATTTTGCGATTTGCTCTATAAAATTCATGCACATCTTTTTTTTTATTGTTTATTTCTAGGAGAGAGAGAGAGAGACAGCGTGAGCAGGGGAGGGTCAGAGAGAGAGGGAGTCACAGACTGAAACAGGCTTCAGGCTCTGAGCTGGCAGTCCGCACAGAGCCCGACGCGGGGCCCAACCCACGAACCGCAAGATCGTGACCTAAGCGGAAGTCGGACGCTTAACCGACTAAGCCACCCAGGCGCCCCAATGCACATCTTTTTACAAAATTTATTGCTAGGGGCCTAAGAATTTTGTTTGCTGTTGTGATTATTTTTTTCCTAATTTGTTTTTGCTGATTTATAGATACGTTATTGATTTCTTGATATTGATATTGCAAGTAAATAATTTTGTTGAATTAGAATTCTGGTAGTCTATTTTTTTTTTCTTAAATTTTCCATGCAGATAATCTGTAAAGTTTTCTCTTTAGTAATTATATCATTCTTAATTTTTCTTTCGCTTCTGTAGCATTGACAAGAATGCTATAATAGCAGGCATCCTACTCGTTTCTAACATTCATGTAGTTACTCCTAATTGAGTCTTCATGAAAGTTTTAATTAATAACCCTAATGAGGTTAAAGAAGTCCTGTCTCAATTTGCTTAGATTTTATTGCAAATGAATAATAAATTTTTCAAATTTTATTTCTCAAATAAAATAAATTTTTCAAATAGTTTTCCAATGTATTATTCCAATAAATTTTCTTTTTAATATTGTAAAAAGGCATTTAAATGTTGAAATATCCTCATTTTCCTATATTAAATACTAATCAGGGGCTCCTGGGTGGCTTAGTCGGTTAAGCGTCCGACTTTTGCTTAGGTCATGATCTCGCGGTTCGTGGGTTCGAGCCCCGCGTCGGGCTCTGTGCTGACTGCCAGCTCAGAGCCTGGAGCCTGTTTCAGAGTCTGTGACTCCCTCTCTCTCTGACCCTCCCCTGCTCACGCTGTCTCTCTCTCTCTCCTAGAAATAAATAAAACATTAAAAAAAAAAAGATTTAAATACTAATCGACCATGGTATATTTTTATGTACACTATTAAATTTCATTTTGTTAACATCACCTTTAGAATATCTGAAAACTATTTTATAGGTCTGTACTTTTTTTGAATTGACAAGAAAATTCTGTCATTTTATTTTTCCAGAATTCCTATTAATTTTATGTTGTAATATATCAATATACCCTCTACACTTTTACCTGAATGTTCCAATGTGTTGTCTATTGGTTTTTATATGCTACACGATGGGTAGACTTTAAGTGTCTTGTAAATTTTTTCCAGAGGCCTAGAGTTGACCCTATTTTTTAAATTTTTAATATAAATTCTATGATTATATTACTCATTTTCAAGTAATTGTAATTTTTTTGTTGCTCTTTAATGATTCTTGTTTCATTTCTGCCAGTGTGGTTTTTGATCATAGATTATTTATAATTGGATGTTACTTTTTCATTTAGTTCTATGAAGATCACTTTCTTTCTCAAATTATTTCTCATTTCATTTTATGATTTTGGTTTATTTGGAAAGAAGTGATTTTATTTTCAGATTGTCAATTCAGTTGGCTCTTTTTTCAGCGTCTCATCCCTTCATCCCTTGGTTAATGTCAAATGACAAAACTCTCTCTCCTCCCTGTGTCCCTGTGGCTTCCTCTCCCTCACCCTCTCCCTTGCTTTTTCTTTCTTCTCTGGCTTCTTTGCCTTTTTCCATCTAGTTGAGACAGACACCTCAAGTCTCCTGAGACTCCAGTTTAGAACCAAGGCTGGCAATGCTGGTCCAGAGATGTTATCCAAAGCTGGTGTATTAACCCATCCAGTCACTGAACCAGCTGGCTGCTTGTTTCAGATCCCATTTTCCTGCCTGTGTTGTTAAATTTTGCTTTTCTGGCCTACACATTCCTTCCTGGAAGCAAGGGTCCCAGCCGCTATTGAGAGGAACTTTCTTTTCCCCCAGTCTTCTTTCTAATCATGAGTGCTGCTGTAGCCTCTGGATTTCGGCATGGAGTTGCTTTAGGTGGAGATGTCTATTGTACATTACCCCATGAAGCCCAAGATCTGGCCAGTGCTACCTGTTTGTGGATGGACACTAAACAGGTCCAAAGCTTTACAGTCATTCACTGCTTTGTGTTTCAGTCACATTCTCAGTCTTCCTAGATGTTTAGGGATTTTAGAGCATATGTGACTTAGTTCTTACTTAAGTCTTTAATTTTCCCAATAATTTCCCATGTGTTTTGAGCAGCAGTTATTTAAAACATAAAACTATAGAGCATTTTAGTTTAAAGTTCTATACGTAGACAATGCAAATAGAATTCAATCTTAGCTTACATCTTAATAAAATTCATTTTTAAAGATGAGAACATATTCAAAGCCACATTATAGTTTTTTACTCATTGTTTCAACCAAGAAAACTTTTTCAGAATCCAATAGACCTATGACACCATTATCGGCCTCACCAGTTACTATAGAAATTTTCAAGATACTTTATGTATACCTCTCTCCCTTATGACTGCTTCCAGATGATGTCACAACTAGCCCAAGTTTGTCTCAAAAGAAGAAAATATAACAAGTCAACTCAGTTAATTAGCTTGCTCCCCAAATGCAAGGAAAATTCATAGTATAGATCACAATGGGTTTAAATGCAGAATCATACATTTTAAAGCTCATGATTTCATCAAAGAATAAAAACAAATAAATACTATTATTTATTAATATGAATACTATAGACATTAATATTAGTGCCTTTATTGTAGTTGTGAAATACTTTTGCTGTTTCCAAGCACACTCTGTCTACTCATTTTACCCTGACAGCTCGTCTGTAACATGAATGAAAGTGCTGCTTTACAGTTGAGGAAGCCCAAGTACAGTAGATTGTGTTTCTTACACCGGGTGTAGTACTAATTAGAGTGGTATGTATCTCTGAAACCTGTGACTTGACACCCAACAGTTTCTTGCTGTCCAACTAGGCCTTTATTTGGTACCTTGAACTTGATGTCTTCATCATGCTTCTTGAGAAACTGCCTCCCTTTGTGCATTGCTCCCCAACACTTGAGTCTTGTTTGAATCCCTGGCTCTGTAGTGAGTTATGAGGATGCCTTTCTCTACTGTCTTGTTCACAGCTGAAAATTGGCACACCATTAACTCTAAATCTCTACGCCCAGGAGAATTTGGATAGAGTACTTTATACAAGTAGGTAGGTAGGGTAGATGTCTTTTCAAGGAAAATATCATTTTGTTATTTTTTGCCTCATAAATCTCTTTTATTGCAGGAGGGCTCGATGGATAGCTTATACGAGCCAGCCCCAGAGCAACAAGCTAACCAAGGAAGCACCTCTGTCGGGACTGGTTCTCTTATCTCACCCTTTGGGGAGAGTGGAAAAGCACACAACAATCTCTTCATGGTGAGTGAAGCCTTGAGTTGAGTGGATTACTTCTCTGCTATAAATTGAGAATCATTTGCTTAATGATACCTGTTAACACAGTGAAAACTACTCTTCACAGGCAGTTCTTCATTTACTTTTAGTTTCTGATTTTCTTTTCATTGTTGTCTCTTTTGTGATTTTAGTTTATTAATATGAACTACCATTTATAGAGTATGTGTTAGGTGATTACATAAGTTAAGTCACTTAATCCTCAAAGCAGTGTTATGACAAAGAAATAATTATATCTTATCAGAGGTGAGGAAACTGCAAGAGAGAAAGGGAAATTAACTTACTAATGGCTCTAAACCGTGAAGTGTTAAAGTGGGCAATTAAATATATGTGGGTCTGTATCAGTAGCTTGTCAGTAGTTTATCGGTACATCAGGTGTTGAGGATGGGTTGGGGGGACCCCACATTTGTAACATTTGCTACTTGTCATGGTGTAAATGTTCCTACTGTAGTCATTTTCAAGTTACCAGAGGTTTAACTGGCTTCCAATGGCTGAATATTTATTTCTTCATTATCTCTGGTGCCTACCCCAGCGTACCACTGGTGGCTTTAAAATCTGTGCTAACCACTTTCTTTAGCTGCTCCTTAAATTTATGGGCACACATCGTGAGCTCACAAAGCTTGAGTATGACTGGAATGCAAAAGCAGATCATTTTTTTGAATTATCTTTATAATTACTAGAGGCACAGAGTTCCCCGTGTTCTGCAAAATTGGCCCTGTCCCTGTTTAACAGTGCTGGCTGTTTTCTTAGTTGATAGCACTGTATTTAAATTAATCCCATACTAACAAATTTATTTTGCTTCTGTTGTGGCTTCCATTGTGGCTTAGTACAGTACAAAGCATCCCATGTCTGCTACAAATAAAGAACTTTTTTTAGGAACACCTGGGTGCCTCAGTTGGTTAAGTGTCCAACTTCGGCTCATCAGGTCATGGTCTCCCGGACTGTGAGCTCCACTTCTTGATCTGTGAGTTAGGGCCTTGCTTCCAACTCTGTGCTGACAGCTCAGAGCTCAGAGCCCAGAGCCTGCTTCAGATTCTATGTCTCCTTCTCTCTGCTCCCTCCCCCGCTCAAGATCTGTCTCTCTTGCTCTCAAAAGTAAACAAAACATTTAAAAAAAACTAAAAGGAAAAAAAATTGTTTAGACTTCTAGATTTGGATGCCACCTTCTGCCCTTACAACCATATTTTTCCCCAATAACACAAACATTTGCTTCCTTTATGTAAGGCACTGGAGCAGGTGGTGTTACATGTGACATTGTGTTGATCTTTACAATAACTTAACCCTGTTGAGAAGGGTTAAGTGACTTTCCCACTTAAAAAGAGGATGACCTAGGATTCAAACCCAGATCTTTTCTTTGCTCTAGAGAAAGGGTTACAGTACAGTACTTTCAAGTTTTATACCTACCTTCATTCATACCTATTTTATTCTGTGGGGACATTCTTTGTGAACTTCTTTTTTATATAGCTTACAGATGTAAGTTAGTTAGTTAGTAAACAAGTTCAGTAATAAGTCTCAGTAAAATAATCCAAAAAACTTTTAGCGTAGCATAAGCCCTTCCCCCAGTCTATCCCCTTTTCAATATCCATTAAGATGTTGATGTTGAGAGATATGCATATGAGAAAGCAACAATACATTTTACACATTAAAGTGAGAGACAGACTTACTTAGAGACTCTCAACTGAGTTCACGAAATGTTTGTAAGCATTTTTACTCTATAATTAAAAAGAAAAATTGAATAGGCTGAAGAGCCTGAAGATATTTCTTTAAATGTGTTAGTTTAATAAATATGCATGAAAAACAAACAAGTCCATGGCCAAACAGTCTACTAGAATTTTTATCAAACTTCACTTACATTGCAAAAGTAGATGAGAATAATAAAAACATGATTTAAATTGGTACATTTCTATCTATCTATCTATCTATCTATCTATCTATCTATCTATCTAACATCCACACAACACACACATGTATATACATGTATATCATATAGATATATATGGCTCCATATTTAGTTAAAAAATATGTGCATACATACAAGCATAAATTTGTGTGTGTGGGGGGTGTGTGTACACTGAAAGGCAGACAGTTCAACCACTGATTCTAATATTAATTGTTAAATTATACCAGTCGTTTCGAATTACCACTGATATTTTATTCCTTATAAAAATTATTCCACAGCTTGGATAAAATAAAGTCAGTCTTTTAATAATGACACTTAGTGATTTAGAACTTTCCCTCTGATCCTCTGATGAATGGATCCTTTTTTCTTCCTAGTATTCTCATTTCCTTTCCACCCCCCCTAATTCAAGAAGAAAAAAAAGTTTTGGACTAGTCTTGAAAGTATCAGGGAAATATTATTCTCTTTGGATTCATGTTCTATAAAACACCCCTAAAGTTCATGGAGTTATGTCTCAAGCTTCCAGTCCTCAACCCAAATGTATCTGTGACCTTTCCAGAGAGGAGAGGTACTCTCATATTTAAACTCTTTAGAGCCAACTGGACAGCATATATCTAGTTGTCATAGTGAAAATTAATAACCCATTCTAAAAATGATATAATTTGTTACATGAATTGAAAAGAAAACTCAAAATTAGAAAAGAATCCTAGGCTTCCTGACTCCCCTTAAACATGTTTTTATTTATTCCTATTTATTAGGAGTTTTATGATGTAGAAAACACTGTTTTAAACAAGGTGTGATGTTACATAGATGAGAATAAAATAATTCAGAGTTCCAGAGGAGATAATCCAGTGTAAATTAGCTTCACATTTAAGGGCCAAATAGATATTAAAGGGAAAGAAGTTTATTTGAGGATTTTTAAATTAAAAAAAAAAATTAGCAGGCACCTGGCTGGCTCAGTCCATAGAGCATGTGACTCTCAATCTCAGGGTTGTGAGTTCAAGCTCCACGTTGGGCATTGAGCCTGCTTAAATAAATTTAAAAAACTTAATTGAAGTATAGTTTACATATACTATAAATTTCAGGTGTACAACATAGTGATTTGACATTTATATACATTATGATATGCTCACAATAATAAGTATAGTTACCATTTGCCACCACACAAAGTTATTACAATATGATTGACTATATTCCTTATGCTCTACATCTCATCTCTGTAACTTATTTTATACCTGGAAGTGTATACCTCTTAATCCTCTTCACCTATTTTGCTTATCCCCCTTCCTCTTCCCCTCTGGTAATCACGAGTTTGTTCTTTAAATTTATGAGTCTCTCTTTTTGTTATTTTTGTTGTTTGTTTTCTTTCTTTAAATTCCACATCTAAGTAAAATCATATGATATTTGTCTTTCCGTCTGACTTATTTCACTTAGCATAATACTTGCTAGGTCCATCAACGTTGTCACAAATGGCAAGACCTCATTCTCTTTATGACTGAGTAATATGCCATTGTGTATATAAACCACATCTTCTTTATCCATTTACCTGTCGATGGTCTGTTAGGTTGTTTCCATATCTTGGCTATTGTAAACAATGTGACAATAAACATAGGTATGTGTGTATTTTTTTTTTCAAATTAGTGTTTTCATGTTCTTTGGGTAAATACCCAGAAGTGGAATTGCTAGATCTCATGGTATTTCTATTTGTAGTTTGGGTGGAACCCACATACTGTTTTCCACAGTGGTTATACCAATTTGTATTTGCACCAACAGTGCATAAGGGATCCCTTTTCTCCACATCTTTGCCAACAGTTGTTATTTCTTGTCTTTTTGAAATGAGCCAGTCTGACTGGTGTGAGGTGATATCTCATGGTGGTTTCGACTTGCATTCCCCTGATGATTAGTGATGTGGAATATCTTTTCATGTGTCTGTTGGCCATCTGCATGTCTTCTTTGGAAAAACTGTCTATTCAGTATTCTGGGATTTTAAGTGAGGAACATCTGAAATACCCAGCTTCCATTTTAATTGCAGTTCCAGGGGGGTTGATAATGGAGAGCTGCTCCAAAAATAAGTCAATTTAAAATACAAGATTTTATTAAATTTTGTGAAGAGGAATAATAAGTGATCCACTTGTATATTAGCAAAGCCAGAGAGTTTAGGAAAGTCACTGCCAAAAAAAAAGGGTAAAAGTTTTATGGAGTGAATACTCATGCAACTAAGTAAATAATGCTGAAAGAAAATGTACTAGTATATTAGCCTAGCTAAGGATTGACTACCTTATTACTATATTAGTTAAAATGCAGGCCATTACAGCTTGATTCTGTACCTATTTTAGTACCTCACCTCTTTATTATGTCTGAAGCTAATAAAATATCTTGGTTTAGAAATACAGTGAGAACATAAAGTATTTGTACCTCTGCCAGTTGGGGTTAACTGGATCAGTCTTGAGTTATCTGATTTGCCATCTCTATTGACTGAAGTAAGCAACTAATTGCCAATTTTCACTTCATTTTGTAACTCGTAAGTTAAATTGATAAGAAATTTAAGCCTTTACAAAAATAGCATTAATGTGGAGTAGGGGCAATGTCCCTATTATTTATATGTTGAACATATTATTTATATATTACACAAATGTTCATTCAGTAAATATTTATAAACTCAATGAATGGATCAGTGAAGTTCCATTAATCACGCTAAAGAAGGTCTTAATAATGTTCTTTTTTAAAAAAAAAAACCTTTTTAATGTTTTATTTATTTCTGAGAGAGAGAGAGAGTGTGTGTGAGCAGGGGAGGGTCAGAGAGAAAGAGAGAGAGAGAGAATCTGAAGCAGGTTCCAGACTCTGAGCTGTCAGCACAGAGCCCAACGCAGGCCTCAAACCCACGAACCATGAGATCATGATCTAGGCCAAAGTCAGACGCTTAACTGACTGAGCAACCCAGGCACCCCAGAAAGTCTTAATAATGGAGTATGTATGTGCAGGGTCGAAAAGCATGAGCTTTGGAGTTGAGCAAATAAGAGTTCTCATTCTGGCTCTGCCATTTTGCCAACTATTTGACCTGGGAAAGTAGCTC